AAAAAAAAAAAAAAAAAAAAGAAAAAAGGAAAAGCATCTATCTGCTTCCAGCAAGCTACAGAAAACTTGCAAATCCAAAGCTGTTGCCACTTCCAGAGTAACTCAGTATTTGTTTTCACAGACGTGTATTTTTCCCTGTTGTTACCTGTAGCTGGCTGATAACAGACACAAGAAGAAATTTAGCAGAAATCTCCTTTCTTTAGCATGAACCCTGCTCAGGGCTGCAGTTGGGCTGCACTTCCCTGCCGTGGTTTGGGGGTTCGCTGTGTTTTCACCTGCGGGATGACCGTGGAGGGAGCTGCGGTGCTGCTGCAGAAGATGCCTGGCATCAGCATTTTGTGCCCGCCAAGCCAATCCGGCATGTCGGGAAATGCCGGCTCCCAGGGAAAACCAAAAGAGGTCTGTGTTGCCTAGTTTTTGCATGATGCAGGAAAAGCATCCTTGGAAATGCCCTGGCTCTAGCCTGTGTTAGACTGACAGCGATTTGAGAGCCTGTTTGTCAGAGAAGTAACAGCAGTTTCAGTGCACTGGGAGCTGTAGGCTCCTTGGGGAGACCTCATAATTATTTCCACAAACCTTCAGCCTTTTATCTTTCTAAAAGGTTTGTTTCCTGGAAACTCATTCCTCCATGATGATTATTTTCATTTCATTTTAGGAATCCAAACGTGTGTTTCCTGTACCCTAGCAATAATAACTTCCTGACTGCATCGTATTTAAGTGTGTTTCTCAGCCCTCTCAGGTTTATTTCAAAGATAAAGCTGTGTAACCAAGAGGGCTGGCAGTACGGCCGTGGGGGTCTCGCTGTCGCGGTGTCCCTGGGTGCCCTCCCCGTGGTGCCAGGCTGTGTGCAGGGACAAAAAGTGGCCATCCGTTTGATGAAAGGTGCTGTGTCCTGGGGCTGTAATGACACTGAGATCTCAGAATTAATTTAACTTCCAGGCTCATGCCCCCCACAGTGCAGGGATGCCTGAGCCAGCCAGTGGTGCCCAGCGCCGCACTGCCAGCCTCCTGCTCCCTGGGAATTGCATGGTAACTGGTCGGAGCAGCTTGGCAGTGGGATGGGGACGGGGAGGAGGAGCCGTGAGATGGGAGATTTGTCAGCCCTGGAAGGCCACATCCATCCCCTGTGTCAAAGCTGCCGAAAAGACCTGGTCAGCAGCACTTTCTCCTCCTCCTCAACTGGTAAGCTACCAGTGGGACGCACAGCTCTTCAAGGGCTATCTTGTACTTCTTGGAAACTGCCATGAAACAATAAAGCTGCTGTAAAATAATTAAATGATTTAATTGCCTCTATTAAGAAGGAAAAAACTACCAGTACATTATGCTGCTATCTTCTCAAGCTGCCCTAGTCATCAATTACCGATCTGGATGAGCTCCCAGGCTGCCTGCTGAGGGGAGAATAAAATGAGCGTAAATCCTCCGAAGACTGAGAGAAATGAGGACAAAATAGTGTTTTATGAACTGGGAGTGACATCTGCAGCCGGGTCTGAGCTCTCTATTCTGAGGACTGGAGTATGCCAGAGGGAAAGGGTCAGAAGCGAGTTGTTATGCTTAAAATTTCCACAGAAATATTTTTGTGCTGACCTGTGGCCACCCTGGTCAGTCATCAGTCTCTTGGCAGTAGATGGAGACTTTGTGTCAAATCGGGTCAATTAATTTCATTTATTTATATTTTGGGTTGTGGGGGGTTTTCTTGGTTGGTTGGGTTTTTTCCCCAGAAAAATCTCCTTTACAGACTGAAAGGAGCCTGCCAGCCCACTCAGTTCCAGGATTTGAATGAGTGGATTAAGGGCTAATATGTTAAGTTTATTCTTTACTGAATGTGTTGGTTTTTTTCTTTTTTTTCCTTTTAAAATGTTGATTTGTTTCAATGTTTCTTTCCGTGTTCATAGGCAACTCAGAGACGGAATTAAGCAAAACCAGCTTCCTAAGAAGATGATCAAACCTTAAGTGTCACAGGTTCAGCCCAGACATTGATTTTCCCCTCCGAGCCCGCTGCTCGAGGACTATTGATCACGGTTCTGGTCAGGCTCTGCGGCTATCACGTTCCCCTCGTGGGATCCAGGGCTGCAGTTCAACTTCAGGCATCACCTGTATGACGTGCTGTGCCTTTTTTCCTTAAGGTCTTTAGCTCTAACATGGATTTTGCAGGTAGATATTGCAGGGGAAAACTGCAAATGCCATCTGTCCTCCAGGCTTCCCCACACTAAGATTAGATCTTTGCAAAAGCGGGGGCCACAGGCAACGAAACAACCTTCCAGCAGCATTGCACATTGACCGATGTGAGGTCTCGTCTCGGGTCACGTTAATCTCTTTGGGAAAGTACAGCTCAGGAGCCACTTCCCAACGTGAGATCCTTACGTCAGTCTGGCTGCTTGGATGGTTTATTTCAGATCTATACTGATGTTAAAGTGGATAAAGGTGTAATGGGTCATTTTTTTTTTCCCTTTTCACAGTATCCATTCGAACTAGGCCTGGTAGCAGCGTTTGTGTTCTCGATGCTGGTGTGTCTCAGCAGGCTCTACACGGGGATGCACACAGTCCTGGTAAGGATGCCCTGCACCGCCCCGTGCCCGTCCTGCCTCCAGCTCTGCTTACCTACAGCGATTCCCATCTCCCACTCTTCAAGCGAAGTACGTCCTGCCTTGGCCGTGCCACTGCAGGAATATAGGAGTCACGCCACTAAATTTCAGGCTGTACATTCAAAGGCAGCTGTGAGGAAACCCTCAGGCTATTGCTATTTGAGTCTGCAGGGGAATTATTTATACCATCAGGGAAGCAGCAGTGCGTGTGGGTTGAGGAGCCGGGTGAGGCTGGCGTGGCATCTGAATTGTAGTTCTCTATTTTGAAATTTTAATTGCGAGGAATGCACTTGGGCAACTGATGGTGCTCCTTAGCTAAGCCTTTTGTGCAATAGTATCACTGTTGTCAGCAAGAAATACTCCGGGCTGGTTTAGCCTGGGAGTGTCAGGGAAGGAATAGCAGGTGGGTGAGTCACACCGGTACCGAACCAGCGGGGCGAGGAGGAGAGGGTAAAACATGGCAAGTGAGCTGCCCTTGGGGGACTGGGGGACGGCATGGCTCGTGTTACCACACAGGGACATGGCACTTCAAAAATTACTATGACAAGCTTCTCGTTTTCAGCTGGAAAGAAATTTGTTCTTAAAGGACTGTGATGCACAAACACTTTGTCCAAAAAAAAATCATGAAATATCTGTGGCTTTATATGACAGACTTGTTGGGCACAGTTATTTAGAGATGTTACTCCTTCTTTAAGAACAGATTTCAGTGTAACTTTGATTCTGCAGTAGCTGGTTCCTTCCTGATGAGAGGAAACATTATTGATCTGTTATATATAGCAGTCAGAGGGGTGGTCCAGCTTCCCAAGTATGGATAAAAACTCTCAGCTATTTCCCTGCAGGAGTTTGATATCCATCATTGGTTGGTTGCATATGCATAAATAATTGCATTTTTTTACTAAGTAATAATTATGTTTGTAATAAAGAGATTTGACAACTGTAAGAAAGGGAGCCCTTATGAGATTAAGGTTATCTGTAAAATATAGCTTGACCTTCCCTTCCAGGCCTGGTGGATCAAAACAATATCTTAAATTGAAGCTGGAGACACCCTTTCTTGGCTAGTGACCTTACGTCAATCAGCAAAAATTCTTCACATACTTCCCTTCCTGGTCCATCATAATGAAAGACTCCTCTAAATTTAGATGGATTTTAGGGTAAAGAAGAAAAAGTCCTTTGTGCCTTTGACACGATAAAAAAGGGCTTTAAAATAAAAAAAAAAGCTCCTTAGTTGAAATGTGAGCAATGCTGCCTTTCAGAAAGGCAGATGTACTTCGCTGAGGTCTTCATCCCGTGCGTGCCATGGTAGGGACGGAGCTGGGGAAACGCCTGATGATCACAGCTGCCCAAACGCAAGCCCTCTCTCTGCAGCAGCATCCCACCTGCAAAGACAAGTTCTGGCATCCCACCTGCAAGGACAAGTTCTGGCATCGCACCTGCAAGGACAGGTTCTGTCGGGAAAGAAGTGCATTTGGAGCCATTTCCACTCTTTGAGGGATGGCTCCCACCCTGACCTGCCCAAGACCCTGCGGGGCCGAGGCGCAGCAGCCACTCAGCCAAGCCACCAGCTGAAAGAGCCTCTGTCTAACGGATTTTTAACTGAGGTCTTCATAGAAAATGAATACCAACAGGATATAATTATGTATTAAACGATCATAATATTTTAGTAATGAATGGGTAACATATACCCACTGACTTAGTGTAACTGAATTTTTCCCGTTTGAGGAAGCAGAGCAGGAGTGGCAAGGAGGTCGCACTGTGCTTTGCTACAGCCGTAGCTGAAACTCCGGTGCAGGGGCTCATCTTCTGTAGTCTCAGCTTTACAAATTGGTCTGTATTTCAGCATTGCTTATGTTGCGTTTGGATCAGGACTGGCCTCAAAAAGCACAGTCAGGTCAGTAGAAGAGATGTTACCATTAAAGACCTTCTGGAGAGGCAGTCAGCTGGTATGAGAGCTCTCTGCACTATTACAGCTGTATCAGAATGAATACTGCGCTTAGGGAAAAGGCAGTAAACACCCGTTGCCTGAGCTGTTACCAGGGGAGCATCACCCACCTAGAGAATGGGGTGGAAGCAATGCACTTGCACTGCTAAGAGAGAATTTAATTACGACAACCCGCTTTCACCACCTCAGTATGAGAATATCCCATGTGTGTGGTGAAGCAAGGGAAAGGCAGGATCCTTCTTCCTAGGTCTTAAATGATGGAGTCTGAGGAGCCGGTGAAGAGGGAATTTGCAGTTACCTGGAAAGGGCAAAGCAAAAATTTGGACACATTTTGAAGCAGTGAATCTGTAACTGTTTAGGGGTTATTTTTAAGGAACAAAAAGCAATTGGAGAAAATAAGACTGAGGTTTTTTGTTATTGTTTGCTTTTTTCCCCCCAGAGAATTGCATCTTAGAAAATATCCCTTTACTCTCCATCTCAAAACTTTGGTCCAATTTTTGATCTCTGCCTCAGTGAGGTGAAATTTTCCTGTCTCACCGCTGCTGGAGCACGTCTGAGTCATCTCATGTTTGAAATGATGAGCGATGGTGTTCATGTGGGTGCACAGTATTCCAAACAGATGCAAGCAAGATTGTTGCAAATCTTACTGGGAAGAACTTAATCAGCCAAGGGCAGCCCCCAAAGCTGGAGGCTGCACCTTGAGTGCTGTGTCCAGTTCTGGGCCCCTCACTACAAGAAGGACATGGAGGTGCTGGAGCGAGTCCAGAGAAGGGCAATGAAGGTGGTGAAGGGCCTGGAGCACAAGTCTGATGGGGAGTGGCTGAGGGAGCTGGGGTTGTTCAGCCTGGAGAAGAGGAGGCTGAGGGGAGACCTGATTGCGCTCTGCAACCACCTGAAAGGAGGGTGTAGCAAAGTTGGGGTTGGTCTCTTCTCCCTGGTAACTAGTGACAGGACAAGAGGGCATAGTCTGAAACTGCGCCAGGGGAAGTTCAGGCTAGAAATGAGGAGGCATTTCCTCACAGAAAGGGTGGTTAGGCATTGGAATGGGCTGCCCAGGGAGGTGGTGGAGTCACCATCCCTGGAGGGGTTTAAGAAAAGACTGGACATGGCACTTTGGTCTAGCTGACACGGTGGTGTTAGGGCAAAGGTTGGACTTGATGATCCCAGAGGTTTCTTCCAACTAAATCGATTCTGTGATTCTGAGGAGGGGAGGCATTTAGCCTTCTTTTAACCCTTCAGGGCCAGCACTAGGAATTTCTTAATGCACCAAGCTGATGGCTTTGGCACTGGCTGTGGCGGCGGAGCT